CTGTGAAATCCTTTACCACCCAGGAAAAGCCAACGTGGTAACGGACGCTTTAAGTAGAAAGGAAAGGAGTGGAACCATCAAAACTATAGCAATGAGAATGAATTTGATTCCTGATATTCGTAAGGAAATTCAGAAGTACCAACAAGAAGCTGTGAAAGAAGAATTTGTTAAAACAGAAAAGTTAGGTAAAATGATCTCAACCTTGGAACAGAATGATGAAGGACTTATGTGCTTTCAAGGACGAATTTGGGTACCATATTTTGGAGATGTCCGAAGTATGATATTGAATGAAAGTCATAAATCCCGATATTCTATCCATCCAGGTACCAATAAGATGTATCGAGATTTAAAACCTTTTTATTGGTGGCCAGGATTGAAAAGAGAYATAGCTCGATATGTGGAACAGTGTCTGACATGTTTACAGGTTAAGATTGAACATCAGAAGTCGTATGGAAGTCTTCAATCGTTAGAGATACCTGTATGGACATGGGATCACATTACCATGGATTTTATTATGAAGTTACCTCGAACTCCAAAGGGGTATGATGCGATTTGGGTAATTGTTGATCGTTTATCTAAATCTACGCATTTTCTACCGATAAGAGAAAAATACTCTTTAGAAAAGTTAGCGCAGATTTACATCAAAGAAATTGTTACTAGACATGGTGTTCCATTGTCCATTATTTCTGATAGAGATAGTCGGTTTACTTCCAAGTTCTGGGAAGGACTACAGAAGGCTTTGGGATCTGAAATTTGGTTAAGTACAACTTATCATCCGCAAACGGATGGGCAAAGTGAAAAAACTATTCAGACTCTCGAAGATATGTTGAGAAGATGTATTATTGACTTCGGAGGATCATGGGAAGATCATTTGCCATTGATAAAGTTTGCATATAACAATAGTTACTATTCCAGTATTCAAGCGGCACCATATGAAGTGTTATATGGACGTAAATGTCGGACGCCATTGTGTTGGAATGAGGTGGGTGAAAAACAGCTAACAGGTCCTGAAATTGTCCAAGAAACTTCTGAAAAGATCGAACAGATCCTTGAGAGAATAAAAACTGCACAAGATCTCCAGAAAAGTTATGCAGATAATCGTCGAAAATCGATTGAGTTTGGTATAGGTGATTTTGTAATGTTAAAAGTTTCGCCGTGGAAAGGTGTCATCAGATTTGGAAAGAAAGGAAAGCTCAGTCCAAGGTATGTAGGGCCATTCAGAATATGTAAGCGAATTGGGCCAGTAGCATATCAGTTAGAGCTGCCAGAAGAGCTGAGTCGGATTCACACCACTTTTCATGTGTCGAACCTGCGAAAATGCTTGGCTGATACGAATCTAGCTGTACCTTTGACAGAGATTCAATTAGACAGTAAATTGAATTTTGTAGAAGCTCCAGAAGCCGTAATTGACAAAAAGATTAGGGTATTGAGAAACAAAGAGATAAGTCTAGTTAAAGTTCAGTGGAAGTTTCACAAAGGACCGGAAGCGACATGGGAATTGGAGTCAAAGATAAGATCAGAATACCCATGGCTTTTTGATTAAAGGAATTCCGGGACGGAATTCTTTTGAGGGGTGGATAATGTAATAACCGGATCTTGGTTATTACCCAAGGTAATTAATGTGTGATTATTCGACTAAATGATTACGTGATAGCATGATAATTGATACATGCCGGTATGAAAATTTGTGTATTAATTTGTTATGTATATATATATGTGTGTGTATATATATATATATAATATTTGGGTGCATGCATGTAATGCATGCATGGAAAAGGTATGTATGTGTGTGTGCATGTGTGTGCATAATTAAGCATGAGGTGGAAGGGAGGAGGGAAGGCGGTTTTAGCCGACCTTCCATATTTGGAAGGTATAAAAGGGGTTGAGTCTCTTCATTTACCTTTCCCTGCTATTTTGAGAAGATTGAGTGTTTTAAAGAGAAGTGTTGTACGGATTGCTTGTGCTAAGTTGCAAAAGAGCTGATTTCAAGTTGATTGCAAATATTTGGTTTCAAAAGCTTGATAAGGTGAGTGATTACTAAACCTTTTTGCATAAAATTACTACTGGTTTTAATTGCATATTTCATGTTATTATTCTTTAGGAAGAAACCTTGCATATTTTTGTTTAAGTGTTTATCCGGACGAAGAGTAACCGGATAAGAATTTAAACAGGACAAGCCTTGAACGGCTTATTGGCCGGATATTAGTTAAACTGGATAAGCCTTGAGCGACTTATTGTCTGGATTAGTTAAACCAGATAAGTCTTGGGCGGAGTATTGTCCGGACTTGAATCCGGACAAAGATTGTTAAACTATATTTAAGTGTTGAACGGTGTAGTTAAACCTGTCAAGTCTTGGGCGGGGTATTGTCCGGACTTGTATCCGGACAAAGATGATTTTTGCTTCTAAGTGTTAAACCGATCAAAGCTTATGCGGTGTATTGTCCGGACTTGATATCCGGACAAGGTTGAAATTTATTTTTCTAAGTGTTTAAAACGGACGATGCTTGACCGGATTGTTGATTGGATTGTGTTAAAAATATTTTTTTTATGGAAATATTATTTTATCATGAAAAGCAAAATTTTGGTATTGATGATAATTTCAATGGCTGGGGTTTATTTGAAATTATTATGTGAAAATAATTTTAATGAGGAAATAAGGRTGRCATATCAAGGAGGGGTGTACCATGGGATAAGGGTGGCATATCAAGGAGAGGTGTACCATGGGATAAGGGNACCATGGGATAAGGGTGGCATATCAAGGAGAGGTGTACCATGGGATAAGGGTGGCATATCAAGGAGAGGTGTACCTTTGGATATAAGGGTGGCATTTGTGTGTATGTTATATGCTATAACTCATTCTATTATATCCTTTAAGATTACCGTGGTCCGGAGTCTTTATTTCTTTGTGACTTAAAGAGTTAGGATCAAGGTTCTTATTGAATTCATAGTTTGGATGTTATTGAGGAGAAAATGTCAGGTTTGGCCTAAAGCTTTGAAATAACCTTGTTGATTAAGAAAATGTTTAAAAGTGACATTATGTGGAACCTGATTGGTTCAGAATTATGAGATTTGAATAAGCAAAATGATTTGCTTGATAAATGGAAAAGATCTGGTATTATGTTCTTGTGTATTCATATATTTGTTATATTTATGAATAGTTGTTTTTATAAAGGTTTTGGTGATCCTTCACCCTGCAATGACATGAATAAGGTATCTCACTAGACATTTCGGTCTAACCCTTGTTTTGTGATTTTAAACTATGTGTTGCAGGAGGTTCAGACAGTAAGGGGAAGGTGTAATATTTTCCTTTATGCGCTTCTGCTTGAAGATCTGTTTTGACTAATTAGTACAAGTAATGTAATTCGAAATTTTGGACCTTGTAATTGGTCATGTTAGATTCTTGTACTAAGGGACCTGAATGAGATAATAATATGTATTTTCTTTGTATGAAATATGTATTACATGCAATGTGTGGGTTGGGGCGTTACATCTAGTCCAAAAATTAGAAGTGAATCGAGAGTCGCGATCAGAGATAATCTTCACTGGTACACCGTGTCGCGAGACAACTTCATCAATGTACAACCGCGCCCATCGATCCATAGAGTAAGACTCTCGGACAGGTAAGAACAATGCAAATTTGGTCAATCGATCAACTATAACCCAAATAATGTCGTGTTGACGTTGGGTCTTCGGTAGTTTAGTAACCAGATCCTTCGTTAATTCCTCTCATTTCCACATCGGTACCTCAAGAGGCTGTAAACTACCATATGGTTTCTGGTGTTCAGCCTTTACTTGTAAACATGTGGTACATTTCTCAACATAACGTCCAATATCAGTCTTCATCCCAGGCCACCAGCAATCTAAACGAAGATCTTGGTACATTTTGGTACTCCCTGGGTGTATCGATAATCGTGACTTATGTGTTTCTGCTAAAATAACATCTCGCATGCCGCCAAGTTTGGGGACCCAGATTCGGGTCTTAAAGACCTTCAAGCCACGTCCATCTTCAGAGAGAGAATCAATGTATCCTACCATTCGTTCTATTTTAACATTCTCAGGATTCAAAGCCTCAATCTGCCATTTCTGAATATCATCAAATAGATTATTTTTAACCGACATGTGGATGATAGAGTAGCATAGAAGTCCAGAACGCGTCTTCCTACTCAGAGCATCTGCCACTACATTGGCTTTACCCGGATGATATAGTATCATATAGTCGTAATCTTTGATGAGTTCCATAGCACGTTGTTGACGCGTGTTCAACGTCTGTTGATTAAATAAATACTTTATGCTCTTGTGGTCAGTATAAAGTTGACACTTCGTACCATAGAGATAGTGTCGCCAAAGCCTCAAAGCAAATACCACCGCTGCTAATTCATGGTTATGAGTAGGGTAGTTCTTCTCAAAATCTTTCAATTGGCGAGAAGCATATGCAATCACCTTGCCTCGCTGCATCAAGACACATCCAAGACCAAGTCGAGATGCGTCACTATAYACTATAAAGTCTTYGTTACCCTCAGGTAGAGCAAGTATAGGCGCATGTGTCARACATTCCTTTAAAGTTTGAAATGCTTGATCTTGGGCCTCATTCCATTCAAATTTAGCATCTTTACGAGTCAAAGAGGTTARTGGTACTGCGATCTTAGAGAAGTCCTTGATAAATCGTTGATAGTACCCTGCCAGACCCAGAAAACTCCAAACTTCCGAAGCGTTCTTTGGTTGCTCCCATTCTTGAATTGCTTCGATCTTGGCTGGGTCTACAGAAATACCRTCTCCGGATACGGTATGCCCCAAGAATTGTACCTGGCGAAGCCAAAATTCACATTTCGAGAATTTTGCATAGAGTCGTTTTTTTCTCAACAATTCTAGCATTTGACGTAAGTGTGTAGCGTGTTCGTTTTCGGACTTTGAGTAAACCAAATTATCATCGATGAATACGATCATAGACTTGTCGATCATAGGATAGCATACTCGATTCATTAAGTCCATAAACACTGCAGGTGCATTTGTAAGTCTGAATGGCATTACGAGGAATTCGTAATGCCCATAACGGGTCCGAAAAGCAGTCTTGGGTACATCGTCCTCCCGTACCTTGAGTTGGTGATAGCCAGACCGTAAGTCGATTTTAGAAAAATATCTCTCTCCTTGCAACTGATCAAAAAGATCGTCAATTCGCGGTAATGGATATTTGTTCTTTATAGTTACCTTGTTAAGCTCACGGTAATCTATACACATCCGAAAAGTTCTGTCTTTCTTCTTAACGAACAGGACTGGAGCACCCCAAGGAGATGTGCCTTGTAGGATAAAACCCTTGTCCAATAATTCCTACAGTTGTTTCATCATTTCTTTCATTTCCACAGGTGCGAGACGATACGGTGTCTTTGCTATCGGAGCTGCACCCGGTATCAAGTCTATACGAAATTCTACTTGACGATCGGGTGGCAATCCAGGCAGATCATCCGGAAATATATCTGGATATTCACAAACAATAGGAACGTCCTTCACCATCTTCTTTAATTCCTTCGCCGCATCCATAACATAGGCTAGAAAAATTGAGCAACCCTTGTTTAGATCATGACGAGCTTTTAGCATAGAGATTACCTTTATGTCGATCACAGGCCGCTCCCCGTAAATGTATAGGTAATTCCCCTTGCTAATTGGTATTCGATTCATTCGTTGTGAACATATGATGTTGGCTTGATTCCTTGCCAACCAATCCATACCAATAACAACGTCGAATCCATGTATATCAGTTGGAATGAGATCAATAAGAAATTGATAGTTATCTAAAAGCAATGTACACCATCTAAATACCTTATCAGCAACTAATGGTACTCCGCTATTAGTGTCAATAGTGAAAGATTTTTCAAGCATAGTAGACACGGATTCAATATAATGAACATAATCATTTGACACAAAAGAATTTGTTGCAATAGAATCAAATAAAATACGAGCAGGATAAGAATTAACAAGAAATATACCCATAACAACATCGGGATCGTTCATGGCTTCCTTCGCGGTAATTTGAAATGCCCTGGCATGAGGTTTTGGGACCTCCTCCTTTTTGGTCGAAGCCCCCGCTGTATGTATCGGTCGTTGTATCGGTTGTTGTACCGACCCCTTACTTTCCTCCAGTCTATTCTTTATACATTCTCGCATACGATAACCTAACACACCACAATTATAACATGTCTTTTCTCTTTGAGGGCACTGAGTTCGTATGTGCCCAGCTTCACCACAACAGGAGCATCGTACATAAGTTTGATCATCACTACATCGTCCCTGGTGATTCTTGCCATATCGGTTGCAGTTCCGGGGCGTATTCGACTGCATTGTATAGCCTGTGAGGTAGTATGTGGTGTATTATGCGATTGAGTTTGTCTCGACTTGAAGAATCGAGATGTTTAGATGTCGGGGTCGAGAAGGTTCTCTCAACTCTCGATCGTTTCTCCGGTACATCAAAATCATCAGGGAGACTCAGATCATGCTCCCTTTTCCTTGCATACTCAACTGCTTTGGCAAATGAAGGTATGTCGCGATTGGTGACAAAATCACGAATATTCCGTCGAAAACCGTTGACGAAATGATTAATCTTGTCTTTTTCACTTGGTACAAACCGCTGGGCAAACTGAAGCTTCCGACTAAACTCTGTTTCATATTCAATCACCGACATGGATCCCTATTTGAGCTCTAAGAATTCCTTCTCAAGCTTTTGTTTCAGATCATCCGGACAGTATTGTTTGAAGAAAAACACTTGAAACTCTTCCCATGTCATTCTATCCCGAGTATTAGGATCCATTGATCGATATGTGGCGTTCCGCCAAGTGAGTGCACGATCAGTAAATGTCGCTGTAGCATAACGTACTTTATCCTCCTCCTGCACGTAAACAATCCTGAATACCTTTTCAGTGTTTTCGACCCATTGCATTGCAAGTACTGGGTCCGTCTGTCCCGAGAACTCTGTAGCCCCACTGCTTCTAAATGTTTTAAATGAAGTCCGGTCCGACTTTGGTTTGGGTACGTCTTCATTAACCAGCTTCGGTCCTTGGTCAACCAGATTCTGAGCATTAACTGGATTTTGCACTTCAGTTAACTTTCTTTCAAACTCTATTATTTGTTCTCGTAAAGCAGCCCGTGTTTGATCATTCATTATTATTAATAATCTCTCAGTACGAGGTGATAGTTGGGTTTCGTCGTCATTGTCCACATTTTCTTAGACATTCCTTTCTAAGTTGAGGTTGTCATCCCCAATTTCTTGAGTAACCGGCGCGTTGCAAGATGCATCGTGTTCAGATATCGCACTGTAATTATAATACATATATATAGGGGGCAAATAATATTCTATCCCTTATACCCCAACAATCCTAGGTCTCTCCTATTGGTCTATATCCCATATAATCATAACCTAGTCACTATACAATCTCAAAACCTAAGTTTGAGTCCGAATATCACTAATGATATCCAGTTCACTCAAACCACAGCTCTGATACCATATCTGTAACATCAGGCTCGAGCAAACCCCAGGTTACCAATTTTTATAAAATCTCCAATAAAATATAATTTATTGATTATTAGGAATTGATCCTAATTATTCTAAAAGTTTTGTCAAAGCAATCGGGGCCAAGGATGGAAAATCTGAAGATGCTACTGAAACAACCAAGTCTGGAGGAAGACCAGAGGCGATGAATTAGTCCAGAGGCAGGCGATGGACCAGAGGCTGCTGAAATAACTAAGTCTGGAAGAAGACCAGAGGCGATGAATTGGTCC